CCCCCTCCCCGCTCCGATCCGCCAGCGCTGACTGGCGGATCGGACGGGGGAGGGGGCGGGTACAGCTGGCTCTGCCTCTAGATAGGCAGAGCCAGCTGTCAGTCACGCAGCTGGGCGGTTCCCGGCACAATTGTCGGGATCCGCTTCAGCGGCGGCGTCTCAGTATACCGCGAGCTGCAGCTCGCGGTATACTGAGCCTAGGGTGACGGGAGGACGCTAGTTTGTGTCCTCCCATTACCCTAAGGAGAACTATGGGGAAAAGACTTAACCCCATAGTTCTCCTTTAAACAGGCTCACGCTGTACCTAGCGCCTGACAGGATAAGCAAAATGCGCAGCGGACTTCCCCGCACTGTGCACTGTATCCAGCGACTGACAGGTTACGCAAAATCTAGATTAGGGTGAGCAATTAGGATTAGCCTGAGTTTAGTCTTGCTTAGGGAAGCACAAAACCAAAATACACCACTGAATTAACCTTCTGCTAAATGAAGTTTGCAGCAAAAACTAAAGGCAGACAAGGCTGTATAGTCATCTATATAGTCCTTGGTGCCTCTAAACCTCCTCTAAACTCCAACGTTTCCTATAAACCATAGTTCCACTTCATCTTCTTGTTTCCCAGCTGTCATCCTTCACTTTCTCTTTTCCCTGTCGCTTTTTACCATGTCTAGCTGGCATCAACATTATTTGTATCTCTGTGGTCAACATCAACAATAACACATAGCAGAATGTGGTACCACTTTGCAGCCAATCAAATATGTTGCTTTATTATTTTAAACAAAAAATTACCGTATATACTCGAGTATAAGCCGTCCCGAATATAAGCCGAGGTACCTAATTTTACCAAAAAAAAACTGGGAAAAAAATTGAACTGGCTATAATGAGTTACTGCACATCATTGCTTTTATTAAACATAAACATTAATATGCCTTTAATAGTTTGATATGGCTATAACGTTAAAAGGTAACTGTAATTTCATGAATGGAATGACCCAACTGGGCTTGAAAATTCTAAAGCTGGCCATAACCCTATAGATTATCTGGAGATTCTCTATGGTCAGATGGAAAAAGTGCAACAGATACCTCCATCTACGCTAAACTGTGTGTGTGTAAGAATCTCCCACTGGGCCAAGCTTCAGTATCTTGCTAGTCGGCCCCACTGGCCCTCAAAATACCTGAATAATGCCCGCATCCAATCAGATTGTTCAGGTATTTTGAGAGCCAGTGGGGCCGACTTGCAAAATACTGAAGCTTGGCCCAGTGGGAGATTGCTCCAGCCACACAGTTTAGCTAGATGGAGGAATCTGTTGCGCTTTTTACATCTGACCATAGAGAATCTGCAGATAATCTATAGGTATTTGGCCAGCTTAAAGGAGAACTATGATGTCAGTGTTTTTCCCCATAGTTCTCCTTAGGGTAACGGGAGGACAAGAAAACTTCCCTGTTGCAGATTCCAACTCTGTCCTTCTACACTCTTTCTGCTGCATTCTTCAGAATGCAACATTGGTCATTTTAGGTGTCCGCCATCTGCTGACTTTGGGTTACAGGAGTACATTAGTAAATGTACTCCTGTGACCCAAAAGACAAGTAAAGCCTTTTAAGGATATTATTATGGTGTTCTATTGTGCCAATACATGCCAGGAAATCATAATAATGCACATTTTCTTTCTTTTTTGTTTTGTTTATTAAACAGTGTTCAGTAACAAAAATAATAATTAAATACAAATAATATAAAATACAATAATTTGTGTTGTATACAAGTCACTATGTGCTCTGCAGTTAAAAGTGGAGATCCATAAAAAAATAATCAGCACTTGAAAATGACATTCAACTTTCATATGGTAACAGTAAAACTGTCATGTTGAACGGAGGCATTGATTAAATGTCCATCACAAATCCAAATTTCTCTCCAGAAAGTCAACTTGGCACTTTAACAATGTAACAAGATTGCCGAAAACTGGGTAGGCTTTTGCTGTCACTTTCCTAGTTACAGCACCACATACCTCCCATGTTTGTAAAGCTAATTTTGCAATAATGAAGCTCATACTTTTGCCAAAACCACACCCACTGTTGGCAAACCCGATCACTTTGGGGTTAACAGCTACTTCCCCAGGAATAGAAGTCACTGGGATGTATAGCACTGGGTGTATAATCTTTGGTAGTATACATTTGTTTATTATTCACAAGTATGCTGTATTAATAAGTGAATATATTAGAGATCCTGGAAGAAAAGACATTGTGTGCTGTAATGTCTTGTGCTTTGGCTTTCTGCATACTAAATCATCATAGAAGTTAGTTGCAAAATTACCCAGTGTGTCAAGCATCATGATGACATATGGGGGCTCCTCAGCTATTTAGATGTTTATTCTTCCAACCTGATTTTGGCAAGAGCATGTGCAAGAGACAAGCCAGCTCCTCTCTTTTACATTGGTATTTACATGTTTGGTGTCTCTTAGCTGCATCCACATGCATCCACAATCATATCAGGGATGTCAGTCTTTACAATGTTGTTATTTCTATCAAAGTACAGCATTGACAGGGGCCGTCTCTTGGTCGGTACACAACAAGAGCTCACTGCTGTCTGAATATTGTTGGCCTTAATGAGATTAAAAACTGTGGTGTGGAAAGAGGCTGCCATTCCAGGCGCACCAGCCACATGCATTGGGCAAAGTCCCATGCAGTAATTGATCTGGTACCCCTCAGGTTTTATGATCCAGTCATTCCACCCTATGTCTTTAAATTCTACATAATAGTCTTTCCTGCAGCAAAGGTTGGAATTTTGGTCGCATTTGAGGCTTCTTTTTGCAGCGTGATGGCTTCTTTCCTTTACCTTTGCTTGTGCTACTAGAAAGGGTTTGTGGGAGTCACTGGGATTGACCATGAATGACATATTTTGGCATTCCTCGCAGTCTAGTTCTAGCTTCAGGCTTTTATTCTCTTCATCAAAGAAGTCTTGGAGAATCTGCTTTAAGGAAAATGTTTGCCAGCCACTCCCTCTTGGCTCAAGGTATTTTTCAGTGATGAGGGTGCGTGTATCCTGTGGCTCTTGGATCATGTGCAGTCTAATAGTCTGGGTATCCTGACCAGTCCTGTTTGACTTAAAGAAGACCCATAGATGAGCCTGGAGAACATGCACATTTTGCTCATTGTCTCGGGCAAACTGGAATGTCAGCTTTGTCCTGGATTCGTTGTAATCTGTAAAGAAAGAAAGAGTAAATGGGTTACTTTATAAGCTCATAAGCTCACAAACATACACATTTTCAATTTTCATTTATTATGGCAATTTTTTTTTTGAAATAGGAAACCTGTACTGAAAGAAATATGTACTAATATGTACACTAACCTCATTCTGACAATGCTAGCTGCCTGGCTGCCTCTCAGATTCTGACATAAAACTGTCAACTTATTAAAGTCAAAGCTTACAATCTGCATAGTTGTTCTAGGTTAGTGAAGCATGCATTACAGCATGACAACCGTGCAAATAATAACTTCAGAAGGAGAGCTCAGCAATAGTAGCCTACAAGTTTTTTCCTGGGAAAATACTGCTTGCAAGGTTGGATTTAGTGATCAGCATAGCAGACATGTGCTGAGACATAGATGAGGAGAAATGCTTGTGTTGCAGAAATCAGGCAATCAGTTAACATGTGTGTTTTTATTTTAGCAGGTCAGAGAATGAAATAGGCGTCCTGAAAGCCATCACAACAAATATGTTTCATTTCAGTCATTTAATGAAGAAGAACTATGTTCTTATTATAAATCTACCAGAACGTTAGAGACTTCAGTGCAAAGAGGTGAAATGGCAGACTACAAGGCATCAAAGTCTCCATTAAATCTGGGCCATATTGCTCATGTCATCCTTATTTATATTTGCAATAACTTGTGGTTTAAGTAAGGTGACATGTCATATGTATGTCATATATATAAGCAGACATACAATAATGATATCCCTCTGAAGCGTACAATTTTAATGCAGAAACCAGAGCAGACAGTTAACCTGGCCATTAGATGTCACTGTCGTTTCTTTTGTTGCTGGAGGAAGTTCAGTTAAACACATCAACTGACTATTCTCAAGCTGGCCATTCACATAAAGACTGGTCTCCTGACCTGACTCAATTTTTGACAGGCCAACTTGATGCAGAAGTAGCAATACACCTTTATGGCCAAATCTCAATGATCCAGTTATTTGGCACCACAGCTGAAGAGACTTTCATTTCTACCGAAACAAAACCCGGATAGTGTATGAGGGTGAAAAATTGCACAGTTCATACACATGCTGATTACATTAACGTTTGCTCTAAAATGTTGAATGACTCAATCGTAGTCCTGATTTGTTCTAACGTATGGCAACCTTGACATCTAATATCAGTAACTGAATAGCAGGCGTGTTGTTGAACTACATGTCCCAACATAACCTTATCAGGGTTATCTGATGAACTTCTGCCAGAATTTTTGTACTGTTCAAACAGAAGCTGCCTGGGTCAGGATTATATTATGCAGATAAATATTTTAAGCAGTACCTATTATCTATTTATCTAACCAGTAACTATACATATGAACTTATGTTGGTTGTAGGTGTTCCTGACTAATAGAATTACACTATTGTTACAATTATATGAATGGTTTCCTGACATGTTCACATATAGTAGCATGACCACTGTTTTGCAGTGTTGTGTCTGCAAACTTGGTGTGTCCAAAGTCACGCTCCCATTTATTTGTCTTTGATCCTGTAGATGCATGGCTCTTACACATCACTTTAGCAGGTCAGGCAGATATGAGTGATGCCCGTTAATATTGTAATACTTTTTTAAAATATAATAATTTTTTATCTTTATCTTTATCACTGTGAGGTGTTGCTGAAAACTACAGTTTCGCAAAGCAGTGAAAATTATGTAAGTGCTTGGTACCAACAATTTTTTGTGTCTCTGCTTTGTGTGAAATGTGTTGAAAAATAATAGATTCAGCACTGCAAGGAAAATGTGGGGGCTTTTTGAAAAAGCAGTGCAAAGGAACAACAATAATTTACATAATGCAGTAACTCATAAAAACCAAAACAATAAATATTTCAGTTCAGAAGCATAAAAATAAAAGATTTTCATTGTTTTTTCACATTAGCTAATAACATGATATATATATATAT